CTCACGTGTATCTTCTACTCTTAAAGGCCACGTTTCACAGCCGTAAAGTAGAACAGAGTGAACTGCTGATCAGTATACTCGTCCCTTAATTGATAAACGGATATCTCGCCTTCGCCATATGTGACATTAGTTGGGAAAAGGCAAACAAGATTTTTGGGTTCGTGCAGAGATTTCGTCAGACTCCAACTCATTAAAGCTGATCAGACTTCCAAGATAAATGAAGTTGTAAACGCGTTCGACTACTTCACTCGCTATCTTTAGTTCAGATGTTGACGCAGGCCAATCATGAAGCAACAACTTGCATTTAGAGGGGGAGAAGCGCATCCCAAACATCATGGAATTGTTGGCATATGTGCTTCCTGCGCGGTCTGCCTCAATATTGTCTTAGTTCACAAGCTTTATAAGCAAAGATTGATAGTGGCTAGCAGTGAAATCCAGGACGCACGTTTCGGTTTACTTGGAATTCGTCAGCTGGATGTCCGCACAGGATGCACATATACCGACAAGAGACTGATCAAATGAAGTTCTAAACAACAATGGGAAGATACAATAACAATTGAATTAAACTTTACCTGATTGGACTATCTTATTGGCTATCAGGACCCAGTAGCTGAGTAGATAACGTGATGACGTTTGAAGTGAATGGCACTTGGTTCGAGTCCCGGAGTGAACATCAACTCTGAGATGCAGGTGCCTCCAGCTGATGAGTCCCAAATGGGACGAAACGCGCATCAAACCGGATTCCACTGTTAGCCACTATTCATCATTGCCTAAATAAATAGTTTTATTCCAATCTACAAACTAAACTATTCTTTACATTTTAATTATGTAAGATTAAGGTATACCCCTATATGCTCGTTAATAATCCAACTAAAAAAATATCTCTCTCTACTATTTTCTATGATTTATTACCTAGATAGATATCTAAATCTCATTCAGCCTACTTTGCCTTGAAATCGACATCATTATTTATTTTTTTTAAAAATATAACAGAATTATTTAATGAATTTCAATCAGGGATCAACTATCATTATATAAATGATTATTTGTTATTACGTACTATTCAGATAAATGTTTAGTTTTAGAACCAGGTTTAAACTCTTATCATTATTATTATTATCATTATTGTTATTGAATAAGTAATTAAATTAAATTTTGGACATTCTCTTCTTCCTAGTGATAAACATTTAATCTTGTTTTTGTTTGTTTGTTTTAATCAATAAACAGTACAATATCGTGCGAGTTCAAGAATAATACAATAAAGATTATCAATCATTCTATGTTATATTAAAACTACTATTTACTGATTCATGAAAAAATAAAAAAAATAAAACAAATTCAATAAATCTAATTCTATGGATGAGTTACCATGATTATTATTATTTTCTCTCTCTCTCTCTTGAATAACAGTTTTATTAATTATGTCATTATAAAAGTTTATATGAACAGAATATTAGTGTTGACAACTATTGTGCATGTGTACTTGATTTGCTTTACATCAGAGTGAAAATGTTTTTGATGATATATATAGTTTTTTTGTCTTAGAGTTAATTTAACTGAAAATTGAAGATCTGTAGCTTAGGTGGATGATTTTGATGGAGTTTTGTTCTCTGAGCTGGATGGTTTGGTCGTGGAGCTTTCATCGTTTTTCTGAAGAACGACGAAAGCTCCACGACCAAACCATCCAGCTCAGAGAACAAAACTACATCAAAATTAACTGAGAAGTTTTCACTGTTTTTTCTTTAGTACATCATTAATATTTAAATTAGGTAGGATTAAATGTTTATGGTATTATTATGGTCGTAATAATAATATTCCTCTTTAAAAGTTATATAATTATACACTGGATTATTGTGTATAATACTTGAATACATGAATGAAACTAAATTAGATCACCATTAAAAATTTGGAGGGATTCGACGGTCATTTCGTTTTAGTATAAAACTTTGAAGTAGTATGCATTCAGGACATTGCAACAGGAAATCGGAACAACTACTGAATATACATATAATTCTTTTTCTTCACATGAATTCTCATATTGTTGTGAAATATTGAATTAATTGAATTCCTACAACTAACAACGAATATTTTGAAAAGTTTGGTAATTAGCCTCAATAAATTTAGAAACTACGAGCAAAATGGATGTAAACCTATCTGATTATGTATTTCTATAGTGCATCATACATGATATTGTATAGTTCAGTAATGTTACACTATCAAAATATATACTTTGTTATAACCAGACCGTTGGTGCTTGCCAATCGTGATGAACCAATTGAGCCATACTAGCTGAAATAATCGTTCCTCAAGGTCCTGCCATGCCATACAGGTCGGTTGAAGAGCGGTAAGACTAAAAACGGCAAACCCAAGGTCCAAAAGCGAAGTCGTACTGCAGTAGGGTGTTTCCTTCAGACAACCAGCATAACAGCGATGCTACCTTCCCACAAGGAGAGGTTGGGTTAGAAAAGATCGACCCTAGAAATGCACACTTCGCCTTATCCCATGGATATCCGTCTCCGGAGTTAAGGTTCCAGTAAGTGTGGAGCTAACACGAAAACTCGCAAATCGGCCGTGTGTGTGACCGGCAACAAGTAGTTGTCCTTCGGGCACTGCGGTCAAGTTCTCAGGTCACTAAGACCACTTCTAATCTAATTTCCTTCTTAGGTACCGCTAGAAGAACCCATCCACTGTGTGAGCAACCGGGAAGTGATAACTACCCTCATACCTCTAACAGCATTCAACATCATTGTATACATAATCAATCTCTCTCTGACTGATTAGTTTATGAGTAGGAAATACAAATGAAGCAGACCAATAATTTCCAAGATGACGTTTAGCTCCCGTCGTTGATTCTATAATGACTGGACGATAATGATACCTGTGAAATGTTTATCCTATTTAACTTCATATATATTCTGACGTCAAATCTCTTTAATAACAATGTGGATATAAAAATTCGAAAGTATTCGAGGAACGTATGTTTCAGACACCTAAAGATGCAGATAAATCATAAGAATTAAAGGGAAATGAATACGAAATGGAGTGGTAGAAATATCCAACTTAGTTATTATTGGGTGACTCAGCATTTCCTAAATGTGAAAAAGATAAAAGCAAATTTATAGACACATACATACATGCTGAAGGTCACATAACGCGGTAAACAATATAATTCAAGAAAGGGAACTTTATGAATTTCTCCCGAACTATGTTTTTCATTTAGCACACTTATATTGATAACTTCAATATATTAATCATTGATTATGTGAATATGTGATGTGTTCTTACCGTCTCCGAATTCGCATCTAAATAAATAACCTCATAGGAACTTAACTTGATCAGTACAATGACAGGTTAGATTTCGGTAGTTTTTTTTTACAACTCTCCGGATTTGAAATTTCTGGATTGTTCATCCAATCTAATACTCATATTATACACTGTATGAGACATGATTTATTGTGTTGTAGTATTAGAAATCTGTATTCATTATCAAGAAAATGAACGGAGGTTGTTGCTTATTTTTCAGCAAAAACACATGTTTGTCGTTTTGTAATAAATTAATCTTATTAAAACAGTTACAGAAGTTTTATTGTGAAGAATCAATGTTGATAGGCTATTGACTTGCTCGCTGTGTTTTCAAAACCATACTGTAGACAAATTGTATTGATATCATTCTTCTACAATCCTTATCTAATTTACGATCATTCAATAAGTATTTTAAGGCTTCATCTAGATACATATATACATTAACTAATATGCCTAGTGTTTTATCTCTTCTGTCACCTGATTCATTCAATTAAATTAATCAAAGTGTTCCGTTCGACTGCTTCAAATCTAATGAGCACTTCATATAACTTGAATCTCTTAAGTTTGATTCTCAGTTGAGATCTAAAAGAGATTTTACGCTTGACAAGTTATAAACTGGCTAAATATTTACGTTCTCTCATCGATTTCTAAATGATTTTTAGGTTGATTATTCGTTGTTGTTAATCAGTATATTGCTTTATGAAAACATAAAACTTCAATAATATAACTTTCATCACCTACCTGTCCTCGAATATTGAAAGGTAATAAAGATTTACCAGCTTCTGTTGGCATACCTTCTCTCATTTTACCTTCATCAAAAAGTGTTTCTCTCAACTGGCTATTTTCAAAATCATCACTTCCATATACATTGGATGCATCAATAAATGCTGTGATTTGATTTAATTGTTCCCTGTATCTTGGTTTACCTAATAAAATTGATGTTGAACCAGAACCACAAGTTGCACTAGATCGTGAAAATCCAATACAACGATGTTTAATACGTGGATCATCTGGAGGTACTAATATTGGAAAACATGGTGGATCATTAATACATGTTTCATTACAGCCGAGACCATCACTAAATCGACTGGTTGATGCATCGACTGGTGTAAAATCTAAATCATGATCTAAAAATTGTCCCCATTGCATTAACATTCCACTGAATTTATTATCTTCATCAAATAATTTGTTATCAATATAGTTAGTATTATTGATCATTTGAATTTCGGAATAATTTGTTTCCATTGGATACATTTCATTCTGGGCAAGAATGATAATAATATAATTTAAATGATTGTTTTTTTAGAGAAACTTACAAAATGAGTTAAATTGGAAGTCAAAAAGCATTACAAATGAAATAGATAATATTGTAGAATAACAAATTAATGTTTCATATCAGAAGGGTTTTTGTCGATATTATTAGTAATTTCAATGAATGAGATCATGAGTCAATTGAAGGTAGACCACCATGTAAACGGCCATCCAGTGCTTCCAGGTTTTCCATGTTGGTCTAGCTTCAATTGACTCATGATCTCAACCATTGAGATTAATGACTCTACAAGAATTTGAAAGATATATTCACCTCTACTTTTTATTGTTTGCTAATGGTTTATTTATAAAAAAATAACAGTATAGTGTAATTTGTAATTGAATGTAAGAGCTTCATATTTAAAAGTTCTTTAACTATTGAATAACTTGTTATTTTCAATGAATCATATTTAAATTTGCAAAATATAATAGATGAATGAAGGGATGTTTATTATTGTCATAAGCTTCTGATGCTTAATGAAGTTAAAATGGTATTGATTTATCAAATTAGAGACGAAGTTCTAAGGATTATCAATAGAATTCATTTATCTAAGTTTCAGATGTATTACTTACTTACTTACTTACGCCTGTTACTCCTAATGGAGCATAGACCGCCGACCAGCATTCTCCAACTCACTCTGTCCTGGGCCTTCTTTTCTAATTCCATCCAATTCTTGTTCATTCTTATCATGTCTATCTCCATTTCCCGGCGTAATGTGTTCTTTGGTCTTCCTCTTTTCCTTTGGCCTTGAGGATTCCATGTAAGGGCTTGTCTTGTGACGCAGTTGGGTGCTTTCCTCAATGTGTGTCCTATCCACTTCCAGCGCTTCTTTCTGATTTCTTCCTCCGCTGGGATCTGGTTTGTTCTCTCCCACAGTAGGTTGTTGCTAATAGTGTCCGGCCAACGGATCCGACGTGTTTTTCGTAGACAAATGTTATTAAACACTTGTATGTTCTGGATGATGGCTTTCGTAGTTCTCCAGGTTTCTGCCTCATACAGTAAAACTGTCTCGACACTTGTATTGAAAATCCTGACCTTGGTGCTGATTGACAGTTGCTTTGAGTTCCCGATGTTCCTCAGTTGTAAATATGCTGCTCTTGCTTTGCCGATCCGCGCCTTCACATCTGCATCAGATCCACCGTGTTCATCAATGATGCTGCCCAAATACGTAAAGGCTTTTACAGCTTCCAAATCTTCTCCATCAATTGTGATTGGATTGGTGCATGCTGTGTTGTATCGGAGAATCTTGCTTTTCCCTTTGTGTATATTGAGACCTACTGCTGTTGAGGCTATTGCTACACTGGTCTTTTTCTCCTGCATTTGTTGTTGCGTTTGGGATAGAAGGGCCAGATCATCTGTGAAGTCTAGATCGTCCAGCTGCATACTAGATGTCCACTGTATCCCGTGCTTCTCATCAGATGTTGATGTCTTCATGATCCAGTCGATCACCAGGAGAAAGAGAAAGGTTGAGAGTAAGTAAACTTGCCTGACACCAGGCTTTTCTTCGAACAAGTTTGTCAACTTCAGAGGTAATAGTTGAATACTATTAGTTATGCTAGATCTTGTGTATTAAATCAGTTTTCATTAATATTCTATGCATCATTAAGTTTGTATGGAATATTGAACTCACCTAAGGAATGAAACTTCATAACCACTCAGAGATGAGAAGTTATTTTGATGTTCTCTTGTAAGAGCTAAAGATTATATAATATTATTTCACAGTTAATTAGACAGATAATCCTTAAATTTGTAGTTTCACTATTTTTCTGCTACATGTATCACTGTACCGTTTTATCGAGGTGACTTATTTAATACAGATGCGAAATGGGGTAGTATTCAATCTTTATACGACTTCGTTAAACGGCCGAAAAGTCCAACAATGATCTAGCTTATATGTTATGTATGAAGTCAATCGTTTTTTTAAACTTCTATGATGAGTAAGTGTATTCATTATATTCATTCTGTTTAATTTTCAAGTCAAAATCGTTGTTTTTAATTCACCATACTACTGATAACATTTGTAAGTACTCCATCTTCGCAGATTCAGCTAATAACTATTCATTGTTGACTAGAATAAACTGTAATGATATTGAGACTAGTGTGAAAATTGTAGAAAATAGATAAGAATAAGAGATAGGGCTGAATCGATTTTCTTTGTTTTCAGTTTGTGCAACTACGTTAGAACTCTGTCTCTCAAGTCTTCGAAAGTAAATACCGAAACATCACAGTTTGTTTTGAGCTCTTAGTGAACCATTAGACCAGAATCAATATACATCTACAAATTTACTTGTTCCTGTAGAGCAGGTTACATAGTCCGCAATAAAAAGGCTCCCAAGAACCGTATATCTTAGCATTCCTCTTGATGGTTATCAAAAACATTACTATAGTCAATCAACAACTTCATTCTGGTAATGCTGCCCCTTCAGAATCTTCCTCCCACGTTATTCAAAAAGAGAAAAGAAGTGGTTCAAAAGCATCACAAACCTAGAATTTGTGTACGGCAGAGGCTTTATCTACTGATTCCAGCCTAAACTATGTGTACAAAATCAACATGTTCAATCTCGTCTTATGGTGGTCTTGATCATCTTTTCTAGCTGCATGTTCAAGACTCTGTTGCTATTAATCCCTCAATATTTATTAAATCATTAATTAGCTATTGTTACACGATTCATTTATTCTGTTCTTCATATTGTTCAGACAAACAAATACTTCTGTTCTGGAAAATATCTTAATAATTTTTATCATCATTCGTTGGCTCGTTACATGACTCCCTTTCTATATATGTATTTCCACACAATTTATTCACAGTTTCTTAATATTATCCATCTTGACAATCATCATCTATTTGGAATCTATTCTTGATTTGTTCCATTACATTTGATACTTGGAAACATTTTCTATCGTTTTTCAAGTGGTAAAATGTTTTCCTACTTTATTTGTAGACTTGTATATTCTAATTATACAATCATACAACTCTAGTAAGTAATGTCCAAAAATCTCTACATTGAATTGTCTTTATTTCTTGTTCAAATTAGAATCTATTGGTTAACACTTCAAAGCCTCTATTCATGTTTCTAAACCATGATCAAATCAGTATTTAAGGTACTTGAATTTGTTCATATTTTCTGTGTTGACCTTATAGGTTCACAGTTGTTCACTGGAATTTGAGAATATCTACCTTCTTTAAACGTATAGCTGCAAAGCACCATAGTGTTTCAGTTAGCATTAAAAAATGAAGTATGAAGGGACACAATGTTCATAATCTTCAACTGCCAAATTTCACATAAATAAAGTACTAGACATATTCTCAATATATTTTTATTCTAGTGTATGTAGCTTGTTTCACAGATGACTTAGCACACCTGACGAAAATCCCGGCCACTACAGTCAATGACGGTTTTGCGACTCGTTAGTCGATTTGGATTATCGACAAACTATCTTGTGGCTGACCTTAGCAATAAACAGAATATTTCCATCATACATATATCAAAATCCAAAGAAATACATAATCAGTTACTAATAACTTACGCACAATCTTGATGTAAAATTTAGTTAGTTTTGTACAATTGCATGTTTAAGGATTCAGAGATCGAAAAACTTTTCGAATCTGACTGTCAGTCATACTATATTTTATTAAGACGAACAGTTTGACAGAAATTGAGTGCCGAGTATAGAAACGAAGTCACGACAAGTTTGCAGAACGAAACGTTGGAATTATTTACATTTCAATCGCTGAGATTATATCAAATAAAATTTTCCCAAATTACTACTTTGTTATAACTGATAATTCTAGCTAAATTTTATGATTACATTGTCTTAGGATTTGTAAGCTTCATTGTACTTTCCGATCTATTTTATACTCAAATAAATGTTCACCTCAGAGAAATTAGTTTGTTAAAACTATTAGGTTTTAAATTATATTATTAAGAAAATATGTGACTAGAAGAATATAACCAGCTGTTACCGTTAACTATGGATGATGTCTCGTCAACATCGTGAATTCAGTGAAGCTAAAATCACTGAATGCTGAATAGTTTAAAGCTAAGGCGCTCGCCACAATGCCCAAATGGACTAGGTCTGAATCTTTGCGGGGTTGTTGGTGGACACTTCTAAACAGTTTTATAATAGAAAATCGTGGTCTTCTATGGTTATTGATCTACATTCAGTAAATGGTGTAAACTATCATCAAATTACTCTATTTATTGCTTATGATTTAACATATTCCATTTTCTTTATACATTATGAAATCAAATGGCTTATTACCAGTTGTTTCAACACTTTAGGCTTCTTCAGGAAAACATTAATTTCGACGATCAGTATAAACTGTAATCTATAAAAAAATATCAACCACTGATAAACTTTTTTAATGATTTCGAAGGTTAATTTTTAATTAAGCTAATGTCAGTTTACTGGAACAATTTTAAAATGACAAAATTTGCAACGTTTCATTTTGTAAATTTCCTGAATTCTTATATCTTTCGATTATTATCATTGTTTGCTATTTTCAATAAAAAAAGTCATCACAAATACAAAAGTCCAAATAAGGTTCAAATGCTGATACAGCTACGTGATTTCTCCCAATTATACAACTTAATAAAATCACAGCGAATAGTTTTCATCTAATAACCATAAAGGTTTTGTATTTTTAAATTTTATCTAATCCGTTTAGATCAATATTGTTTTGTCAAACAGTAGTTATAATAAGCATTATAAACTTCACATATTCGTTGTTTTCTATTAATAGTGAAAATAATAAACAAATATATATATTTGAAGGGGTTTTGTGAAAAAGTTTAGAACTTTCAGTAGTTGAAATCATGAGTCAGTTGAAGCTAGATCACCATGGAAAACCTGGAAGCACTGAACGACCGTTTCGTCCTATTATGGGACTTCTCAGTAGTGCGCATCCACGATCCCGAACCCCACGAGACTCAAACCCAGGATCTATCAGTGTCGCGTGCCAGCGCCATAAGACCAGTGAGCCGACATCCAACGATGTTAGTGTCTAACTTCAACCAATCCACGAAATTGCGCCACAGTACATGATTGTCTTCAGTGAGTTGATATCTCACAACAGACCTGGTTGTACTCCACTGGTAACGACTTCTCACTAGAACTCCAGGAGTATCTCTTGAAGTCAGTCATTAGTGAGCGAGACTGATAGGTCCTGGGTTCGAATCTCGCGAGGGGGCAGGATCGTGGATGCGCACTGCTGAGGCTTCCCACACTGGGACGAAACGCGCGTCTAGTGCTCACAGGTTTTCCATGGAAGTCTAGTTTCAATTGACTCATGATTTCAACTAGTAAAATATATATTTGATAGTTTCGTAATTTGGTTCATTAAAGTTAATAATTACATACAGTTACATGAAGTAGTCTTTTTAATACACTATACGAAAACTAGTACTTGGCTGCCAAAATCAAAATCCATATATTAGAGTTTGAATTTACTATTGTTTGATAGAGATCAGATTACTGTGACAACTAAGAGACTATTTAATTATTCAGGTTAACATTTATTAATATTATGGAGTAACAAAGATTTACCCTTTATAAGTTATATGCTGTACGAAATATTTTATTTTCCAATGATAATTTAAGTTTGTCATTACATAACGTAAATAGTACCTGATTAGAGTTTTATATTGTCAATCAATATGATTTAACTTATTTGTTGGGTAATCACAGTCTTTTAATTTAGCGATTTCTCATTTGAATTTTCATGTATATTTCAATTATTAAAAACGATTATATGTTCTAGAATAAAGTGCAGGAAATATATTTTGACTTTCAGCAAAATAAAAGTTGATATCCATGTATAATATTTGAAATGAGAAAACGTTTTACTTATTAAAATGTATGGGAAACCATGGATACTACTGAGAAGAATAGTCTAAGAGTAGTGTAAACTACTCACCGTTTACTATGCAATTGATACATCCTGATGAAATGACAAGTGTTTGGTAAAATTATTCTTTCATGAATAAACACAAGTTAAAAGGAAAACTCAATACTAAGTATGCATTACTGAATAAAGAATGTTTATTTTAGTATAAGGAAAGATATAATCGAAGACAATAACGATTTAAAGTAATATTTCGAACAATAATTACTGTTAAGATGTTATGTGAATATTAATCCAATTTATGAGAGTATTCGGTATGCCTTGAAACCTTAAAATGATAATAGTATTATAGTTTGCATGAACGACCGACCTTAGTTAAATAACTATTTGAAACTACAAAGGATTAGATATCTATCCTGTCCTATAATAAGACACCCCATTTACAATTCCACCATGAACTTTTATATCTCCTGTCAAACTCTTAACGCTGAGATCACTGAGCTGGTTTACAGCTGCTTACGAAACGGCTGTTCAGTGTTTCAAGGTTTTCAATGCTTTTCTAACTAATGACAATTCGTAACTTCAAATCAGTTCCTGATGATTTTCAGTGAAATATATATCATACAGTCAAAATAGTATGACTTACTAGATTATCAGTGACAAGTCAAGAATAGAAAAGCAAATCGTATCACGACTGATGATCCTACAATTTTGATAATCGTATTAATAAGCCAATCA